CTAGAATTAAGTGTGAGCCTAAAATCCATTCATATATCTATGATTTATATATGTCAGTACCTTTTGAAATACAGAAGCTTTCAATATTTATGGAGCCCAGTTTATCAATGTGATTTCTATAAGGATCATTTTTTTGATCTCATAGCTAAGAAATATTTGCCTAACCCCAGGCCACAATGACTTTCTTTCAGAAGATTTATAGTTTTTGTATTTGCGTCTATGATCCATTTTGAGTTCATTTCTATGTGGTTTTGAGGTAGAGTTGGAATTATTTTAACATCACTTGTTAAAAAAAAAATCCCTCCACTAACAAATAGCCTTTGCATCTTTGTTCAAAGTCAGTTGTCCATGCATGCGTGGATCTACTTGACGTTTTACTGCTCCACTGACACATTTGTCTATTTTGAACACTACATTTTTATACAATTTGTCTATTTTAATACCACACTGTCTTAATTCCTGTACCATCAAACATTCTGAGAGTGCCAATCCTTTCAAGTCTGAATTCCTTCATGCTGCCTCTAAAAGGCAGATCACCAGTGAGTGTCTTCAAAGAACGGGCGTTTATTTTCTCACAGTTAGGAGACTGAAAGTCTACATGTAGGGCATTGTCTCTAGGGGCAGATTCTCTTTTTCTCTTGCTTGGCAGTGGAGCAACGTCCCTGCCTCTTTCCAGCTTCTATTTCTGGGTCCCCTGCTAATCATGTGGCCTGCATCTTTCCTTCTATTTGTGCCTTCTTGCTTGATCAGCTCTTTTATATCTAGAAAGAGTGATTTCAGACTTGTCAATACTGCCTCACTTACAATACTGCCTCATTAATAGAACAAACCAGGAGCCCTGGTGGCTAACCTCAAGGTCAGCAGTTGGAACCACCAGTGCTCTACAGGAGGAAGAGGAGACTGTCTGCTGCTGTACAGATGTAAAGTCTGAGAAACCCACAGGGGCAGTTCGACTCTGTCCTGTAGGGGCACTGTGAGTGAGCTTCAACTCAATGGCAGTGAGTTTGAGGGTTTGTTTATTAAGCATAACAAAGAAAAACTATTCCTAAATGGAATTCTATCCACAGTTATGAGGGTAAGTGTTTACAACACATATTTTGAGGCACACATTTCAATTAAAAATATCACACTTTGATCTTTTTCATTTTTCAGATTTGTTTTGACTATTCTGGGACCTTTGTATTTTCATTTCAAGTTAGAATAATTTGTTTGTTTTTAGGAAAAAAGCATTCTGAGGTCTTGATTGGGTAGAATAAGCATTTAAATGAATAGAATGAATATTTAACTATGATTTATTCTTCTGACTAATGATTATTGTAGCTCTCTCTATTTATTTAGATCTCAACTTATCTCAACAATTTTCAGTATACGGGTGTTTTGCCACTTTTGTCAGAGTTATTTCTCAGAATTTCATTAATTTTAATGCTATCATATCTTCTAATTGTTCTTTGCTAGTATGTAGAAATAAGAGGAGCAGAACTCAGCTTATTGAAAGGAAGCAAAAACCTAACCATCATGGCGAAAACCAGAAGACTGACTCCGCCTAAGACTCTGGCACTAAAACGTTCGTTAAGACAAATTTATCTCCTGCGATCGCCTTTTAGTGTGATAGCAGAATGGCCCCAAATAAATAATTACGTGCCATAGTATCTCCTCCAACTCATAACAATCCTGTGCATGAAACACGGCCCGGTCCTGTGCCATCCGCATAATTGTTCTTATGTTTGAGCCCAGCGCTGCAGCCACAGTGCTAACCATCGTGCCAAAGGTCGTCCTCTTTCTCACTGCTCTGATACTTTATCCAGCACGATGTCCTTCTCCAGGGACGGGTCTCTCCTGACAACTTGTCCAAAATACTTGAGACAACGACATCTCACCACAATTACCTTTAAGAAGATTCTTGTACTTCTTCCAAGACAGAGTT